TGTCCTTCAGAGGATGCCAGATTAACAGTACTGACACCACATGTTAAAAATCCTCAGAATTGAGTGTTATAATCTATCAAACGTTTAAAACTTTACCAAGCTGCCATATAAACGCATGTAAATGGAATGGCAAACTCTGAATTTCTAATCTGGGTGCAATATGTTGGTTAAAATGATTAGCCTGAGTATACTTGGACAAATGAGACCCAAGTTATGACTGGCTACAACTTGACTTGGCAAACCCATGCTTTCTGCAGTCCTGAGTGTGTGAGCTTTGGTATGGCCACAGAGTTTGCAGGGAGTAAACAAAGAAAAGGGGCAGAACTTCTGGGTCTCAACTTTTTTTGATTCAACTAACAAGTCCAACTTCAGTCCCCAAGGACTTCAGGCGTAGCAGAGGTCATCACTTGAATGGCATAAAAAGACTAAATCACTCCAGCCTGACTCCAGAGTGAAGCTACCTACAGCTTTGTTCTCCCATACTCAGCCAGGTCTTCAAGCTAATAACTAGCAGACAATGTCCATAAACTGAATGTAACAGGAGCTTGCTAGCTCAACTCCAGACCTGTAGTCTAGAAAGCGGAATGCTCTCTTGGCCTTCGAGGGGATGTCAGATGACTCTGACCTAGGCCAGTGGGGCTTACTGTCTCTTCTGGATGCAAGGCAGTCTAAGCTTCCTAGATGCATTGCCAAACATGGATTTTTGACAATCTGGAGAGGTATTGACTCTTTAAGCCTTTCCCCAAACTGGTTTTGGCTTGGCCTGCTAATGCAAGCCTCTTGACTCTAACAAATGCTTCGGGTGCCTCTGTGTGTTACCCCGTAAGGATTCCAGTGCATAATTCCTATTAACTTTTATCCAGACTCTTGCCACTTGGCCCTGGAGTTGCCTGCTTGATGTGGGGAAGCAGATACTGTTGTAACAATAGTAGTAAGCTTTCCAAAAAATGGGATGCTAGCCTCCCACCATAAGGAGCTCAGTAATGGATATGAAGAGGAGAAATACCGTAAGTCCCCAATGCTGTTAGGCGGTCCTCCTTGGACTACCATCTATAGGTGCTGTGGCAGACTACGTGGAAGGTAGCTGCTGAGAAGAGCTTCACATGGAGTGGGGGCCAAGAGCAGTAGACTACCTCGCATACTGCCTGAGTCCGGTATTGGGAGATGATCTTTACTTGGAATTGCTAGGTGTGAAGGATTACCATAAACCTTCACCTTTTTAAACTCCTTACTCTTGATCACACTGTACTAGAACTTGCTCGCACTGGCACAATGCAATGCTTCCTTGAAAATAGTCTTTCATCTTAACCCTCTTAGTGTTGTGGTGTTTTGTTTTGTTTTTTTTTTTCTTTCAACCTTGGCAGCGTTTCCAGTTCCTGGAAAGTGGGTTTGCTTGGGCTTTTGCACAGCCTCATACAGTGACAGCTGCACGGCTCTTGAGACCATTGGCCTTGCTATTAAACAAATCGTGGTATACTGAAATATAGACTGTTAATAGCTCTTCAAGGAGTAGGAGATGAGTGTTAACATTACTAAATGTAATGCATCCAAAAGTGTAAGTATCCCATTGCTTTTGGGAAGCCAGAAATAGTGGAGAGGAATGTGAGGAGCAAATGGGGACTCGATTAAGAGTAGAAGGGACTGGGTCTTGTGCTGCCAACACTGTACAGTGGCTGGCTGGCTTCACAAACTGCTGTTAGTTGAAATACAAACTATTCCAGAATTATTAACAAATGCTTTTGCTAGCTTCTCCCTCAATGAGGAAGCTCCTCGGTAAGCCAGCAGCTGTTCCTGGACAGACTTTCATTAATTTGAATGAACTTGTTACTCGAGTTGTCCCCTTCATTACCACAGAAGGCCAGGCTCTAGATGAGTTGCATTGTAACAAGTCCAGGTTTTGCAGAAAAATACCTTACAGTTATTGTACCTCTTTACTTCCTTCGTGTTCATACAAAATGTCTCTTGCTTTCCTTTAACCAAAAGCAAAAGTAGCCAAAGCTGGCCTCCTTTTGCCCCCTGAAAGGGGGTTGTCTAATGATGCAGGGTCTCGACTGGTCAAGGATGAAGGCATGCTAACTTTGGAGATCATGTCTGGCTGCTCAAGCAGTGAATACACCCGCTAATCCTAGTGGGTACTGTGCTTTAATCATGATTAAGCGTAAAGTGGCCTTACATGCGCTTTATTAAGACGACTGCCATCTGCTGGGACTGATCTAGTATGGATCTGAGCTAAAAAACTGGAGTTGTGAGTCTAGCCAGGCATAGTCTGTTCTACACTGGCTTTGTGTTCAGATGGGTAGGTTGAGCGCATGTCACCAGGCAGCAGTAATGGTCCCAGATATGGCCTCAAACTGGATGTAATATAGGTGGGTAGTAGCTGCCTGAGACTTCTGGACGGGTAGTATATAGTAAGTGCTGCTGAGCTGCAGTTCAGGCTCCAACTTCCAAGGTGTGGGGAAGAAGAACTTTTTCTCCCACCTGATTTTAAGTTCTTCAGACAACTGAAGGTTAATGATGTGTTGCAACTTCTGGCTCTGCACTTGTGGTAAAGGGCGTAAGAAACCTTGATTCATATCTGGAAATGTGAATGGTGACTGGTAAGGTGCGGCCTCAGGAATAGTACTTGCCCTTTGGCATTTCTCTAACGTAAGCATTTGGTGCATAGTACTGACTGCAGGTGGAGTTCCCCCATGTGCTCGGGGTGCAGCACACATGGAGATCATGGTACACCTGAAGCCCATGACTTTTTTTTTTCAGTTGTGCAGTATAAACACTGGGGAGGTCTTGGTATTGGCTTTTCTTTTTCCCACCCCCGTTATGCCAGGAATGAACTAAAATGTAGCAATTTTCTGGGTTCTAATGCCCATTTATCAAAAGGTTGTGCTCCATATTGGGGAGATGTGCAAATAAAGGGACTTGACAGACTTGAGTGTCTATGAATCACTTGGTGCATGAGCCTTGTCATTAGAGGTCCCCATTTCAAGCCTGACTTGGGAGGCAGGAAGGCTCAATAAGGCCCTCATCCAAGTGAAGTGTGAGCACTTCTTGAAGGATTACGAACGGCTCTTAGCTTGTGTTGTGCGGAAGGTTGCTAGGCTGTATCCTGCTGACAAGTCTACCAACTGCAGTGAAGTGCTCAGCATGGTAGCTTCCATGCTAAGAGCGGTGTAGCTTCATTAGAGATGCAAAACAGCAACTTGTGTTGGCAACACTTGTAGCTTCAACTCTACTGTTAAGGGGGAGAGGCTTGGCTGGGTAGGCCCAGGAGCAGGCTGTAATAATATGTGATCTCCAGCTGCCTAGATTAGTTGTAGCTCTCTTGCAAACCTGAAGTACTTTACCTCAAAGTGGTTTCCATTCTTCAGGTCCTGGGGAGAAGGAACTACAATGAATTGCAATAAGCTGTGCAGTGGCTTGTTTTTAATGGATTAAATGACCGTCTCAGGACGCAGTCTTGCACCAAAGAAATGCATATGCCTGCTCAAAGGAGCCCGGCCTACAACTAGTCACTATGGCCATATACAAATAAGAGCACGGTGCCTGGAAAGGCTGCTTTGCAAGATCTACTTGCAAAATACACACATCCTGTGTGGAAGCAGGCTTGCATCCTGGAGAACTTGACAGTGCCCTGCAATCGCTGAGCAGAGTACCAGTTTTAAGACCATCAGACATCCTTCCCCCCCACTTCTTTTTCTCTTCTTAAAGGTGACTCTTGTCTTTGGGGTGGGGGAGGATGTAGAAGATGGGAACCTATTTTAGACCTGTTTCTGATAGTAAAGCTCAATGCAGAAGGCTCATAATTCATAGGCAATAAGTGGGAATCCTGCTCCTTTGTGATGGCTGTTTTTGTATTGTACTCAAGACACTTAACCCACTTGGATTAAATTGCAGGCTGGACTAAACCCTTGGGCTACACACTCTTAAACATCAGCGTGGCCTAATACTAAAGCATCCTCCATTATCATGAGGAACTTGGTAGCTTCTGTTCACTTTCTCCTGGTGGCGTGAGCCAAAAAGCTGGGGTAGGGAAGTACAATGTGACACACCCTCCTCTTTATCATAGCATGCAAGCGAAGACTGGAACAGAACGGCTAAGGTGGGGTCCGTCTTATAAAGCATGTGCAAAGCATAGCTGATAAGAGGTGGTTAAACTGGCACTTCCCTCCCTCGGATAGTGCTTGGCTTCCAAAATGGCATGCTTCAAAGTTCAAACTCTTGAATGGACCTTACCTGGCTCTCTTCTTTTGGAACTAAAAGCATTTTAATTGCAATGTAATCCGCCATTTAAAGATGACTTGAATTCAGCCTGTTAAAGTAGCTGTAGAAGACTGGTCTTAACTACTTGCCATCAGTAGGAATGTAAATAGCAACTCTTGATCCTATTACTATAATAACTAAGCTCTACAAACCAAGTCTAATGCCATTCTACCTACTTGTAGGATGTAATAAACTGACAGACAGGCTTGAACTGTGCTTTAGTGTGGGGGAAGGAATAAAAAAGGCCTCTGCTGTTCCAGTATCTCCACCTCCAGCAAAGTTGGACATGCACTTCTGAACTTTGGCTACTTTTTTTTTTGCCTTGGAACTTTTTAAATACTAGAAGCCTAAAAGGAAATGGGCCTTGCCATCTTCAAGAGTTTGAACTGGATTTGAAAACCATGTTGTGAATAATCTGAAATTGTAATCGCCTACCTCCCAAAATTTGTGCCTTTTTTTTGTTATGGTTTTTAGAATTGGGTCTTGAAACGATCATCTGCATAACGAGTCCTCTATCAACCTGCCAGGCTTCATGCAGTCTTTACTGCTAGAAACACTAACTGTAAAGACGTTCAGTCTGGTGTTTTTTGTGTGTGGGTTTTTTTTAAGATGATCAAATTGGTAAGGAGACTAGATGAAGCTTTTAGGGCAGTGAAGTGCTTTGGGTTTAAGCACGGAGTCTTCAACTTTAATGCTTATTATGTTTTAAACTAACCAACTGAACTTTCTTTTCTTTTCCCTAGCTCCAGAATCTGGGTATCAACCCAGCTAATATTGGTTTCAGTACTCTGACTATGGAGTCAGACAAATTCATCTGTATAAGAGAGAAGGTAGGAGAACAAGCACAGGTGGTGATCATTGACATGAATGACCCCAGCAATCCCATTCGCAGACCAATTTCAGCTGACAGTGCTATCATGAACCCTGCCAGCAAAGTCATTGCACTGAAAGGTATGAAACAAACTTCTTGTTCAGCTTACTGTATTGTGCATCCTCTTGTATAAACTCTCTGGTTTTCTTTCTAAATCCGATTCATTCCATCCTCGGATGGAGGAAGGCTTAATCAAAGCACTTAATATCCTGTCCTTCCTCACTTAATGAATGTAGTCCTTCTTGATACTGGTCTCCACTGCCTGGGGATAAGGAACAATCATCAGACTTGCTTTCCTTCCCTAAGCTGGTCATTCTGACACGTTGATTGAACTTGCTGCTATTGCAGCACTCCAATAACGACTTGCTAGTCACTTCAGCATTGGGCTGAAGATGGGTGTTGAATTTCCAAGATGGAAATGTGAAGTATTTAGTCTGCAGACTTATAGATTGCTTTGAACTAGTTGCAGAGAACTGCCCATCATATGAAATCAAGATGGGGGTGGGAAAAACAAAACTTAAGCAAGCTACCTCTTCTAGGCTTCAGAAGCTTAATAAGCCATCTTGCTGATGTCTTCCACTGTAGATGGTCAAAGTTGCACACTTCTTAAATGTGGTGGTTTTTTTTTTTTTTTACTCTAAGCAGTAAGAGTACTCGGATGTTGCTAGGAGGGACTTACCTAGAAAGGCAAATGATTGGTTTGCTCTAAAGCAAAAGTCCTAATTAAGACTGATCTAAATAGCCCTTGATCTCTACTGTCCTGTATTGTTTAGACTACTTAATATTGTCTTTCTGACTTTTAATATGATATTTTGTTTGTCATAACTCTAATGCTTGCTTGTGTATGCAGATGGTGAGTTACCTCAATTTGGATTGTATTGTCTTTGTCCTGTTCTATGAAAAGAGAATGCAAAAGACCTAAAGACTTGTACCACAGACCCTATTGTGTAAGGCTAGATGGAAGCCTGCATGCTCAAACCTGGGGAGCCTCTGGTAGTAATCTCAAGATTAAGGAAATGGGAGCACTTGCAAAACCCATACCTTGGAAACCTCCAGTTCTGGAGTGCACCTAGTCTAAAGCAGTAAATCTAGGTCATTTTCAGGCTTTTTATAAACAGGACTGATTCTTAGTGTGCTTTGCATATGTCTGTAGGATGGAGATTTAAAGAATCTTACTTTTGTTCCCTTCAACAAAAGGAATAGCAACTTGGGGTGGGGAGATGGAGGAAAAAACCTGGTGCTAAGCTGTATGTGAAAATTAAGTGAACTGTTAGTCTCTACCTGATAGTTCACAAATATTTTGGTGTTCTTTGCAGCTCATGTGAAGCATGCTGCTTGCCTGTTTCAGTACTTGTATTACTCCAAACCTATTGCACACTTTTAATGTAGGTGCTGTTGCTAACCAACTCTGGTATTCGACTAATGCCCTGATGTGGCAGTTCAGTACTGCTTAAGCCTTTTAACCCTGAGCTCCCACTAAACATACAATGCAATTAGTTGGCCTTTAAAATGGCTGCCTTGCCATATCTTGGTGTTTTGCATTCTGATACCATTATGCATATTAGTAAAGGGTATAGCTGGAACTGTCCTGCATAGTCTGCTAATACTTTAGCAGTAGTTTTTTTTTTTAACCAGCACTTTTTTTTTTCTGATGCTACTCATCCTTCTTTTTGAAAGAGAAATGAGCATAGTGACTCCTTGGCATATGTTGGTTCTCATGTAGAATGAGTCTTTAATCTGGCTGTGAGTGGCAACATCATGATTTTTTTTTTTTGGACACTTGCTGTTCCGTGTAATTCAAAGCACTTCCCCTTAAGTTTTTTGCATTGGTCCCTTCTTCCTTCCCTTCCTTCTGTTTAACTTCTAGTTGCCCAGACCCTTTTTTAGTTCCTTTTAACCTGTTCACTTCCCAAACCCGTAGTTGGTAAGCTAAATAGAACCAGGGGAAAGCCCTGGCAAGTGCCTGCTTCTGACTCGCTTCCTTTGGTTTTTTTTTCTGTACTTAAAGGACATGATTTTAGTCTGTCTGTCTCTCTCAATTTCAGGGTAGTCAGTTGATTCAGTTCTTAAATGCTTGCTTTCCAAAAATGTACGAGCACATCAAATTTTAAATGTTTAAGCTTTTTTCCAACATCTGTCTGGGTTAAATGGCCAATTTTGAGCAATAGCTCATATATTATAATTAAAAAACACTATTGCAATACATTTTTAAGCACTGCCTAAATGCCAGCTGATCAAGGGCTTAAACGAGAAGAATGCATTAATAGTAGCCTCCAAACAACAAGGCAGAATGCCAAGGATAACTTCATAATGCAGCTACTGTGTCTCAACCAATAGCAGGTACCTGGAAGGGAGCTAGCAGTTTAACTTCTTTACACTTTTGTGTGTTTTAGCTGGGAAAACCCTTCAGATCTTTAATATTGAGATGAAGAGTAAAATGAAGGCTCATACCATGACGGATGATGTGACCTTCTGGAAGTGGATCTCTCTGAATACTGTTGCTCTTGTGACTGACAATGCAGTCTACCACTGGAGTATGGAGGGAGAGTCTCAGCCGGTGAAAATGTTTGATCGCCATTCTAGCCTCGCAGGCTGCCAGATCATCAACTATCGCACAGATGCTAAGCAGAAATGGCTTCTGCTGACTGGCATATCTGCTCAGGTAGCTACACTTTATTTTAAGGAGTCCCAAACTTGTTTGTTGTTGGGATTTCTCTGGCTGGCTTTTGAGGAAAGCTGTCTTGTATGGTAAATATAGCAATAATAAGCTATAATGTATGGCTTGAGGGTTTTGTGTGTTACTCTTAAAAATTTCCTCTGAACTTTGAGGACCTCCTTTACTCTGCTGTTTAGTGCTCTGGTTGGGCTCGTAAATCTCACTGCACACTGCATTGGCTAGTAAAAGGAATGCTTGTGATCGGCATGTTCCCGTGAAATGGCTAGTCGTCCGAGAGGACTTAATGTACAGTAAGGTCATTCTGGAGGAGAAAATACCTCTGACTTGTCTTCTCTCCGTATTTTTGTCCTAGCAAAACCGTGTTGTGGGAGCCATGCAGCTTTATTCTGTAGATAGAAAAGTGTCCCAGCCCATTGAAGGGCATGCCGCTAGCTTTGCACAATTCAAAATGGAAGGCAATGCTGAGGAATCGACTCTCTTCTGTTTTGCAGTAAGAGGACAAGCTGGGGGCAAGGTAAGATCTCACTTTGAAAGCTGTCTCCTTCATGGGGTGCAGTGGGGGCAGGAAAGAAAGTAGCATGTCAACAAGCTGTGGAATAACCAAGATCTTGCAGATTATCTAGCTGCAGGCTTTGCTTGTCTGGGGCACTAACCCTCCTCCTTGATCAAGTATCTCTTCCCAATGAGTCTGGAAGTTCTAGGTGAACCTTTGCCCTCAAAAGACTTCACATGTGAGCTTGTGCTAAAGCTGGGAAGCGGTATCCAAGTCACTGTGCAAAGCTAATGATTCTCCTGAAGGCATACAACATACTACATGTATAAGGGGCCACACCACTTCTTGGCATACTTTGAAGCCAAGCATACAAACCACCAGCTGAAGTGAACAACCCCCACTGCTGCTTTGGCTCTTCCAAAGACTTAGTATCAGTCTGCTAAAGTACTGCATTTTTTGGCTTTGCTCTTGACACTAAGTTGCCAGGTAGCACACGCTTTGAGGACTTTGTTAGGAGCTGAAGGCAAAGCCCTCAAAAGCTACTTGGAGTAGAATGGAAAGTCCATGTCCTGTGGAGGAATTGGGTGGAACTAAATTGGTCTGAGGGTTTAGTGGTTGGCTGACAGCGCCATGAAGCAACGAATGGAGCTCGCTCACTGTTAAGTGACCAGTGAATTGAGCTTAGTTTTTGAGGAATGCTATTGGGTTGGAGGCCATACAGAAATAGCCTGTCCTGTGTCTACTTGTTTAGCATCTACTAAACTGCCAGTGGCAGTCTTGCTGCCAAGCTTTTAGCTGGCCAAAGACTGACTGTTCCCAAACTCCTAGATGAATTAACTTTTTTGTGCATGGGGAGACAAACCTCTTCATGTGACTCCCTTCATAATGAAGGGTGTATCTGCATAGCGGTGTCTTGCATGATCTGAATAACGTTCTGGTAGTGACTCCTCTACCAGAGTCAGTGCTTTGCAAGGTAAGATCTGGGTGGCTGTTCCATCCGTGTACAAACTTGCAAGAAATCTACAGGATTAATCTAATGTCTGCACTCTTGCAGTTGCATATCATTGAAGTTGGCACCCCACCAACAGGGAACCAGCCATTTCCAAAGAAAGCTGTGGATGTGTTCTTTCCTCCTGAAGCGCAGAATGACTTTCCTGTAGCAATGCAGGTATGACTGAATCTACCTCTGCATTTTCATTCTGTTGGGTCTAGCATACTCCTCCAGCAGGTATAACTATGTAGAAGCGCACGTACCAGCTGAGTTGTCTGAGGCTACAACATAAATGGTGAAAGTCTTTCAAGTGGTGCTAAAGGGTGGTGGGTTTTTTTCCCTCCGTCCAGCTCTAGAGTAGAAATGTGGTAGCTCTAACTTAATGTGCTGTCAGTTGCTATTTACCTAGTCGTGTGTGTGCACAGTTGTGGAGGTTTTTTGGTTTTGTTTTTTGGCAGGGGAAATGCCTGGGTTCTAAGCGAGGGCTCACAAACATGTCAAGCATGCCTGCTTTTACTATACTTCATTAGTAGAGCCTCGTGGTAGCCCTACTGTTATGGTAAACTTAAATAGGCTGGCTAAGTAGTCTAATAGTAGACTAACCTGTGAGCCCCAAAGTCAAGTTCTTGGCTTAAAATTTTAAAACATTTGTCTTGCAGATCAGTGATAAGCATGATGTGGTATTCCTGATAACAAAATATGGCTACATCCATTTGTATGACCTTGAAACGGGCACCTGCATCTACATGAACAGAATTAGTGGAGAAACCATATTTGTCACTGCACCGCATGAAGCAACGGCAGGAATCATAGGGGTTAACAGAAAAGGACAGGTAAGGAAATGTTTTCCGTAGACCACTTTCTCTCCTACTTAATTTACAGGATGGGGGTGGATGGAAATGACTGCTAGGCACCATGACGAAATTCTTACAAAATGCTAATCAAATGATGCTTCCTTCCTCTTTAAAGGAAAGGTGGAATATATACTTCCTCTGAATTACTAGTCCCCTCTTTGGAACAGGTCAAATACTAAGACTTTCATTGACCTTCTAGGTGGCAAGCAACAGGTTTAATGAATATTTTCAGCTGACCAGCATTAGTAGCTTAACATCACTGACTTTCATGCGTTCTGCTTCCCACTATTGAATGTGGGCCTGCCTGCAGCTTCAGTCTGGGTGTGTGGGGAAGGCTTCATGGGCAAATAAACATACATACAGACCTCTACTTGACAAGAGCCTGATCGCTGTACAGTGATCATGATTGCTGCTTCTAGGTGTGTTCCTCAGATTAAAAAATGAGGCAAAGCTTCTGCGAGGAAGGTTCACATTAAGTAGAAAGGACTTTGGCACTCCTTTTTACTGGCCTAATCAAAGGCTCTTAATACTTATTTGCCACTGTCTCGCAAAGGGATTGACACAACTGGGTATGTGTCTGTTGTTCTTTCTGTGCCAGAGAGGAAGGATCAACTGCACAATGCGTTGGTTAACAGCAAGCAGTTGACAGTAAATGTGTGTTCTCCCTTCCCTCTACTGTCTCTTTCTTTATTCAGGTGCTTTCAGTATGTGTGGAAGAAGAGAACATCATTCCTTACATCACTAATGTGCTGCAGAATCCTGACCTGGCTCTGCGGATGGCTGTCCGCAATAATTTGGCAGGAGCTGAGGAACTGTTTGCTCGTAAATTCAATGCGCTCTTTGCACAAGGAAATTACTCCGAGGCAGCCAAGGTGGCAGCCAATGCACCAAAGGTGAAGTTCCTAAACAAACCTTCAACCTGATTTTTAGACCCGCTTACCTTCCTCTATAAAGAAGTCGCAGACTGCATGCTCTAAAACTGCAAGGGCAGACGGATAATGCACGCTCCTTTTTATCTATTGCAGGGAATCCTGCGTACTCCAGACACCATACGCCGGTTCCAAAGTGTTCCTGCTCAGCCTGGTCAGACTTCTCCCTTGCTCCAGTATTTTGGAATCCTGCTGGACCAAGGTCAGCTGAACAAGTATGAGTCTCTGGAACTCTGCAGGCCAGTACTTCAGCAGGGACGCAAACAGCTGCTGGAGAAATGGTTAAAAGAAGACAAGGTACAGCCAAAATCTGTATCACTTTTAGAAAAGCTGGTGGGGAGGAGAGGGTAGCTTCATAAGTTGGAATGGGCTGGCTTTCTTTCCAAGTCCTTGCACCTGTGAGAAACTTAATTAAGCTGTCTGTACCTTTTTTTTTTTTTTCTTTTCTTAATGTTTTATTTGTGAGACTTAGTTCCAGGCTCTTAGGCCATGGACACTGAACAATTCAGTGAGGTGTGCGCAAGGACACCCCTTAGCTGGGAGAAGGCTTCTGAAAAAATCAGCAAGTGATACAGTTTACTCTTGCTTATTCTATCAAGTACTGCAGCCCTCTAGAGAGGCAAAAGTGTTTATTTCTAGGTGATGTGGGCCACTACCAGTAGGTCCCTGAGTGAATACTGCTGGCCGGGGTCTTAACCACTTGCTGAGAACGTAGTTAACAGGCCTCTAATAGAAATAGGAAATGAGGAAACCAGATTTCCCTCTTCTCATCTCTTGCTAGCTTAGCTTTCAGTAGAAGGGGGTTGGGCCATGTTGGCTCTGTGGTGCTGAATCTATTCTTGACCATCTTTTCTCTCTGCAGTTGGAGTGCTCAGAGGAATTGGGAGACCTAGTAAAGTCTGTTGATCCTACACTGGCACTTAGTGTCTATCTGAGAGCTAATGTTCCTAACAAAGTCATTCAGTGTTTTGCTGAAACTGGACAAGTCCAGAAGATAGTTTTGTATGCTAAGAAGGTGAGCGTGTCTAACTTGGTTTAGATAATTGCTGTGCTTGGCATCGTAATCCCTTTTTGGGAGCACAAGGGAAATACAGGAGTTGAAGAGAAGAGAAGTTGGGGGAGGGGGGCATAGGTTAGGCTTTCAAAAAAAAAACCTGTCAGACTTACCAAGTAGTTGATTAATTCATTAACTTTAAGAAAAGAATGAAAATTAGAACTGCAGTTGGACTTCTCTGCCTGTCCTCGACTTGTGTGTCCATTGAAGGGCACAAGCATACAGTATAAAAATCCTTCACTTATCAGATATTGGAAGCTCATCTTTGAAGATGTAGGGATGCCAGACTCTGGCTGCTTAGCTGCTGCTTATACACACCAAACTCACTGTGGTTTCTTTGGCAGGTTGGATATACTCCAGACTGGATTTTCTTATTGAGAAATGTCATGCGCATCAGCCCTGATCAAGGGCAGCAATTTGCTCAAATGTTGGTTCAGGATGAAGAACCTCTTGCAGATATTACACAGGTAAAAGATCTGCTGGAAAAAAGCCTCTAATTTTGGTCTGCCTTTTTCTTAAAACTGCTTGTAGGGAAAGTGCTGCTGCTGTACAGGTAGCATCTTAACTTTCTGCAACCAAACTTGACCATGTTTACTTGGCAGTTTGGGATTGACGGTCCTTGTAAGTAAGAGATGGCTTGGGCTTGGAGCTGGCATGCTTGGGTAGCATATTTCTCCTGCTCTTAAAGGGGAACATGCTTTTAGTGATGGAGATGATATTGCTTAAGGGACAGCAAATTGTTGCTGGATCTCTTGGTAATCCAGAGTTGTTATGATTCTTATGCACCTCTTGGTGACGAGGCTAAATAGCATACCTTTCTTGCAGATTGTGGATGTCTTTATGGAGTATAACTTAATTCAGCAATGTACCGCCTTTCTTTTGGATGCACTGAAGAATAATCGTCCCTCTGAGGGTGCCCTCCAAACGCGCTTACTTGAAATGAACCTCATGCATGCGCCTCAGGTATGTCCTGTAGATACTAAGCTGATGCAGAACGGGCTTCTAGATCTGGTAACTAAACTGTGAATCAACCTGTCAGCTGCTTTTTTTCCCGTTCATAGCCACACCACAAAAACAGTACTTGAGGCTTCTTAACTGGTGTTGCCTCGACCCCAGATGTTTACAGCACAACATAACCCTTGATTCTGGACTACTTGGAAAGTGTGCGCGGCTTAGTTTTATATACAGCTAAAAACTTTCATATGCCAACTTTTTTTGTTTTACTTATTTTTTTTTTGCACCGAGCTTGACTGTCAGCTATTTTGATAGCTAGGCTGGAGAGCTTGTTAACTTATTGTAACCCAAGTGGCTTTCCCTGGAAAAGCTATAGCAAATCCTAAGCAAACTACCCCATTCTAACTTGGGCATATCAGATGGCTGAGGTTTGCTGTCATAAACATCACTAAACTTGTTTGCTTAAATCCATAAGTTGAACTGGAGAAAAAAATGCAACAAACTTTTTTGTTCTGACTCTCTTCTAGGTTGCAGATGCCATCTTGGGAAACCAGATGTTTACTCACTATGACAGGGCCCACATTGCTCAGCTCTGTGAGAAAGCTGGCTTGCTGCAGAGAGCACTAGAACACTTCACTGACTTGTATGATATCAAGCGTGCAGTAGTTCATACTCACCTTCTCAATCCTGAGGTACAGAAACATAGTTCTTGTAATCCTGGCTGAACCATACCATGTGAGGTGATCTTAATACTACTGCAGCATGCTAGAATTGGAATCCTTTAATTGCTCTTTTTTTTTTCTTGCAGTGGCTGGTGAATTATTTTGGCTCCCTCTCCGTAGAGGACTCGCTAGAATGCCTGCGTGCTATGCTGTCTGCTAACATTCGTCAAAACCTGCAGATTTGTGTCCAAGTAGCCTCAAAATACCATGAACAGCTCTCAACACAGTCGCTCATTGAACTGTTTGAGTCTTTCAAGAGCTTTGAAGGTAAGACTTAAGCAAATTTCATCTATTAGGAAGGTGTACAAATGGGTCACCTTCTGAAATACGCTGACAGTGGCTAGTATGTGAGGCTGGTTCTACTCGACAGACTCTACAATGCAGAGTGTTCTGGCTTTGAAAAACTCAAACTTCTTTAGCTAGTCATGGCTACTGTCACATCTCTCTCTCTCAACTCCTTTACTGCATTCTTCATAAAGAAATTAAGTGTTGGCATAGCAAAAAAGTAAAACAACCCCCATCTTTCTGTAAGATATCTGCCACACTATGCTTCCAAGGAGCACCTTTTTTTGGAAGCACAGCTTCCAGCTGAGGACCAACTGGAGCTTGTAAGTGACTTAATTTTAAGCCTTTGGTGTCCCTTCTATAAGGCACGTGGTGGTCGTTGGTGGGTTTTTTTTTTTGTTTTTGTTTTGTGTTTTTACTTAACTGGCTGTAATGAGTTGTATGTGGCATCTTGCCTGAGCCCACCCTGAGCTGTACTACTTGAGGGGTTTTTTTTTTAAATTCCCACCAGCTCCTAGGCAGGTCTCTGGCAGCACAGTGCCCAGCCCAGACTGCATATTTTAGAGAGCCTGCAGAGCTTTGGCCACCATTCCACTTCTTTACTTGACCACTACCTAGATCATCAGGTAACACTAGGTGTCAAGAACTACCTTTTGCTAACAGCCTCCAATGCTTACAAGAGGTGCACTAAGCTTTGTAACACGTCACAGCTTGACTTTCTTTTTTTTCCTCCCCTGCCAAGGTTTATTTTATTTCTTGGGTTCCATTGTAAACTTCAGCCAAGACCCAGATGTGCACTTCAAATATATTCAAGCTGCATGCAAGACGGGCCAAATCAAAGAAGTTGAGAGAATCTGCAGAGAAAGTAACTGCTATGATCCAGAGAGGGTTAAAAACTTTTTGAAGGTAAAGAGTCCTAAATAGCCCTGAAATGCTAACCCAGCTACACCTTGGGTGGTGGAGTATCTATGCCATGCCACTCTAAACTGACAACTAAGCATGTTACACTAACATTTTTGTTGTTTTTTTAACTCCCTCTTTTTAAGGGACCAGTTTTTTTATCAGGGCACATCATACATCCTCTTAATTTGGGCTGCAGAAGAGTACTGCTGAAATAAACTTAATATTACCTGCTGCCCTGTTTTAATGTAGCTAAAGAAAAAAAAAAACTTAGAATTGGTATGTGGTGCCATTTTATCACCTCTTAAGAATGGGTTTTGAATGGTTGACTTGGTGGGCGAACTGGTCACTTCTACTGCCTTGAACTCTTTCCTTTCAACTTTTCTCCTTGAGTCTAACTGCTCATAGCAAGAGGAAGTCTGCTAATTGCTCAATAGTGATTTGGATGCTGTGGCTACATGAGCTGTTTCCTTTCAGGACTTTGAAAGGAGGCATGACTCCTTTTTAAGTCTTGGTACTACTGAGGGTGCAGCGCATGCCACAAGCAAGTAATATGCAGTGCTACTTTTGTGTGTTAAATATAATGCGCTCTCAGCCTGCTTGATTCGCCTTCTACTTTAAAGCATCCTCTAAGTGAGGCCTCACTTATCCAAGACAAGGAATCCAAATTGGAAGCCATAAGAAATAGAACTTGCCCAATTCTGAACTTCTTCATTTGACTGCAGATTTAAAGTAAAAAATATGGTCTGACTGAAGGGTGGGAAGATGTGCGAAGCTTTCTCTGTAGCCAGGGGCATTTGTATGTCTTTCCAGTTAAGTTTGGTGGCTTTTTGCTTAGTGGGGTGGTTTATGTTTAAGCAAGGCTACTGCTTTAAAAAAAAAAAAAAAAATCCTCTCTGGGGACACTTAGTGCCTCATGGTTACTAGATACCTAAAAAGCTACAGTAGTGTGATGTCTTGGTGTATGTAGGGATAAGCCTACTATGCCATCAAGATTTTGCTGTAGCACCTCTGTAGCAAAATCTTGTGATCTAGTGTTTTGGAAGACTTGCTATGTTGCTATCATTGGGGGAAGATAGTACAGAACTGAGCAGACGCTGCCTTCTAAACCAAACTATCCCCAATGAATGGTAACCCTGTCAACAAGTTCCTGATGAAAGCTATTGTTTTTTGTGCTGTTCCCTGTGTCTGGAACGTGCAGGACATGTACCAGGTAAATCTCCCAGTATAGGTCTCCCCAGTATTAATTCCTTTTATGTCAACTTGTATGTAGGATTATATTCTGGGATGTTCAGTGATGAAACAATCACTGACTTTAAAGACCGTGTATACTGATGTTCTAAAAGAATGGCTTCTGTCATCTGGCTTAACAATTGGATTACCTGCTGAAATTTGTGCCATAAAAAAAAGTTATCTAGAAAGATGTGAAGAGTACTGATACATGCCCTGACTTTGGATATTGGCAGTTACAATCAATGATGTATTGGCTTTGCATTACACATGCAGGTTAAGAGAATCAACAGTGCATCCTGCTCCAATTTGGATGTGGGATCGGGTTTCCTGGTGATACTGGAAATCTCTCGGTTGAAAAGCAAAGTAGTGCATATCTTAAAGCATGCCTAGCTGCTAGCACTATATCTCTTCAAATCTAGTTTAAATCTGTTTTGCAATCCCAGAGTGTCAATCCTGCACACTGGAAACCCATGGCAGGTCAGAAGTGCTGAAATATAGCATAGGCTTGTAATCTTGTCCTGTCTGTGAAATGCTTGTAGACGTGGGCATGCCAAGGCCTTTTTGACCTTCAAACAGCTTTTTGGCATTCTTGGCATTGGGCTGGTGAAACTATTACAATATGGCGCACATCCTTAGTTTCTAAGGAACTAGAAGCAGTTTCTAATATGCCATTGGTATCTTTGGCAATCAATGTGATTGTTGGTTTAGGTCTTCCCCAAGCTAAACTCCAATAACTTGTTTAGTATTGGATCACAAACTTTTTGTCATTTTAGATGTGCCCTGTTAACTTTGCAACTGT